AAACAGTATCAGAAATTCCTCAAAAAATTAATACTAAAGTAAAGAGAATAGTTCCAGTAAAAATAGAGATGCCACAAAAAATAAAAATTGTAATGAAACAAGAATTAAAAGAGAAACCTGCCATGATTCAAGAATTGAAAGAAAAACCTATTATAATTCGAGAGTTGAAAGAAAAACCTGTAATAATTCAAGAACTGACAGAAAAACCTGAAATAGTTCAAGAACTGAGAGAAAAACCTGCAGTAATTCAAGAAGCAACAAATGAATATAAACCAATTAATGTAAAAGAAAGTATAAGAAATATAATAAATCAATTTAAGGAATTTGAAAAAGATCTCATACATGAAGATGCAGAAGTGAGTAAAAAGGAACCAAGGGTTGAATACAATGCACAACCCACAGAGATAAATACAAAATATACAGAAGACTCGTTGAATGTAGATATTATGTCGGAAGCCAAAGATGCTAAAACAATCAAAGATGCCAAAGAAAGTCTAAGAGATATAATACACCAATTTAAGCAAATAAAAAGTGAACTAACTTCAGAAGAAGACGATCAATTTGAAAAAATTGAAGCTACGTATATGGAGAGACCAATTGCCGAAACGCTAATGCAATTTAGTGAAGCTTTAAAGAATTTAATACAACGAAGAAAAAGAAAAAATATGTCTGTTGCAAACACATTTGAGAACAAGAAGGACACACAAGTAACAATGGAAAATCCTGAACTTTTAACAGAATCTGCAAAGTATTCAAAAATTCCAAATTACAACAAAGAAGAAAAAGCATATGATATGGAAAAGATAAGAAAAGTAATTCAAAATAACAATGCAAAAGATAGCTCAATCCCAGATACAAATAAAGTTTTTCAAGAAAAGTATTTTATTACTTATACACATAATAAAAACGTCCCATTGAATGCTCAAAAATCCACTAACTCTGTTTCAAATAACATAGCAAACAGCTATGATTCCAATGAAGAGGATGAAATGTCACGAAAAAATCTTGGAGACAAGACACCTTAAATGATTAAATATTAGAAATAATTTGCTGTTTTATGCTTATTAATGGTACAGTTATCTAATTGTAGTAATATGTAAATACTTGTTGTTCTGTGATAACGAGAATATTGTATATCTTCATTAAGGCTCATGCATTACCAACACGGAAAAACAAAATTTATTTTTTCTGTGTTTATGCTTAAAATATTGAAAAATATTGAAACAAAACGGAGAAGCATTTGTTTAATATATAATCTTACAAAGGTGCCACAACTGTTATTTTATATGTATACTTATGTAAAAGAAAAAATTCAAACAGTAGATTTACATATATAATGTTAATTTGTACTATAATTATTTCACAT